CAGCAGGACGGGCAGGGGGGTGGCTCTGTCCCATCTGGAGCCCTTATCAGCTCCCCGCCCCTCTCCCGCAGGGCCGAGGCCGGGCAGGCGGCTCACGTGGTAGGCGAGCTTGAGGCCGCCCATGTCTGCGATGTTCTCGCCAAGCGTGTGCTTCCCGTTCACCTGCCGGGCGGGGAGCAGGTCAGGGCCGCTTGGAGCCTGGCCGGCCTCCCTCCAGCGGCGTGCCCTGGGCCCCGGCCCCTAACTCCCGCCCACCCTCGCCTGCCCTCGCCCAGGTGTGAGTGAAGCTCCAACCACCTCCTCCCACCCCCACCCCGTGTGCCCGTGATCCGTGTGAACTTGTCACGTGCCCGTGTGTGTGTGCACAGGACCCGTGTGTGCAGGGACGCGGGCTGCACGTGCACGTGGGTGTGCATCATGCTCCCAGTCTGCGCCAGCTGGGCACAGGGGCCGGTGTGGGGTCTCACCCGCTGGTTGTAGACAGTGAAGTTGTCGTAGAGGTGGACGATGCACTCGGCCTTGCGCAGGAAGCGGCTGTAGGAGGCCTCGGTCCACCAGTGCAGCAGGTTCCCCGTGCGGTCATACTGGCCCCCTGTGGGCGGCAGCAGGCCGAGGCTGGCCCTCCCCCCAGAGACGCCCCTCCTCCGCCCCCACCCACTGCGCATGCTCCCCTCCCCCGGCCACCCTCTCAGGCCCCAGCAAGCCTCACCCCAGTCGTCGTAGCCATGGGTCAGCTCGTGCCCAATGATGGTGCCGATGCCCCCGTAGTTCAGAGACCTGGGCCACAGCAGCAGCGTCAGACCCTCGCCATCCCAGCTCTCCGAGAGCCCCATGCTGCGGCCCAGGCCTGAAAGGCCCCCAGCCAGGCCAGGAGGTGGCACAGGGAGGCCACGGAGGCACCTGAGTGGTCCTGGGGCACTCATGCCCCAGCTTCCCCACGAGCTCTGTGACAGAGGCCAGCGTGCCTGCCCAGCTGCCTGGCAGGAAATAACATCTAACAGAACTGGCAGGGCAGTGCAACAGGGCTGCAGAGACACAGGAGGGAAACTGAGGCACCCACGTGGGGGTCTGGCCTCCTACCCCATCACTACAGAGACTCCATTTTTGAAACACCTAACCAAGCCTCAAACAAGGAAGGAAGAACTTGGGAAGTTAAAAATAAATAAATAAATAAAAACCTATACATTTTTCTAAGTAACCAAGGATGAAGTGTGACTACAGGAACCAGGATCCACGGCCGCCGTGACCGAGCCAGGTTCCGGGGCTGTCGGAGCTGCACCCGACACTCACGCACCTAGCAGGCAAGTCCGCGCGCGGCGGCTTCCGGGGCAAGGTCTGTACTCACTGTGGGAAGTCGGGGTCGTACAGGGTGGGCTGCAGGATGCCGGCAGGGAATACTGCAAGGAAGGCGTGGTCAGCGGGAGACTCACCTCGCTCAGGCCCCACCCCCGTGGGGACACGCCCTTACCCATCTGGTTCTTGTTGGGTAGATAGTAGGCGTTGAGCGCCTGTGGGGGCAGCAGCCACCTGGGGAGGAGGGCAGGGCTCAGCTGGGGGCACACGCCCTCCCCCTTCCCGACCCTCACCTCCTAGCCTCCTCCTTGAAGGCCGCCCCAGATGCCAAGCCACAGCCCCCTCTTGACAGTACATCAGGGCCACCTGGGCTGGGCCCCAACCCCATGCCCTGGACGGGCCCCTGCACCCCCATATCCACAGGGTAGGAGGCAGTTCAGCCCCCAGCCCCTGCCCTGGGACAGGAGCCCTCTCCCCGTGACCCTCCTCTGGCCCCAGCTCTGGCCAGGCAC